AGTGCTATAAAAAATTATTTAAAAATATTTTTTATAAGCAAGTATGAAAATAATTTTATAGAAATATATTTAAAGATGTAGAAAATATATTTGTAATTTAATAAAAAATTTTAGTTGATATTTATTAAATAAATATCAGTCAAAATAAGGCTTAATTTTGATAAATTTCATCATAAAATATAATAAAAATAATATTTTTATTATATTTTATTATATTTTACTTATTTTATCATGAAATTTATCAAAATTAAATCTTTTTTTGACTGTTATTTATTTAATAAATATTCACTAAAATTTTTTATTAAATTACAAATATATTTTCTATATCTTTAAATATATTTCTATAAAATTATTTTCATATTTGCTTATAAAAAATATTTTTAAATAATTTTTTATAGCACTTTAACTAGGATAGTCCACCATCTTTGGTATGTGATTACACAAAATATTACTATGTTAACATGCTTTGTGACCTTAGAAAATTTTGTTTCTATTATTCTAAAAAATTTAATGCCAAATTTTTATAAATTTTTAGCAATTTTTTATTAAGTTATAGGTGAAAAACATGTCTATTATTACTTTTTATACTGACTATAATATTTAAAATATCTTTTTTTTTAAAAAATTTTTATTTAGTTTTTTTTAATAAAGTAATGCTTTATTTATTATTGAATTAAAATATAATAAAATAATTAAAATAATATAAAAAGTTAATTTAAATATTTTTTTATTTAAAATAAAAAATTATAAAGATTAATTAAAATTTAAATAATTTTTATTAGAAGTAATTTATTAATTTTTATATTATGTTATAAATATTTTTGTACTAATAATACTATATAATTATATTTATATAGTTTAAAAAGATCTGTATTAAATATATATCTTTATATTTTTATATTAATCATATTTATTTTTTGTTTTAAAATTCTATTTAAGATTTTACTATTTAAATTTATATTAATATCTTTATATATTAAGATATATACCAGTCTAGTTAAAGTATTCAGACAAGATTAGCAACTAGAAATATTAATAAATTTAAAATACTAATTATAATATATTTTATATATTTAATTTTGTTTATTTTTTAATTATTTATTAGACAAACTTTCTGCTAAAATATTTTTAATCTATATTTATTCAAAAATTTTCTTAAGCTTATTCTTTATTATTCTAAATTAAAATAAAATTATAAAATATATTAATAAAATTTATAATTTAATTTATAATTTACTAAAAATATATAGCTTATTTATAGTCAATTCTGTAGTTTGTTATAAAATTTTTAGAATTTTATATTTTTTTTATCAAGCAAATTTCTTTATTATTAATTAAAAATAAAATTTTTTTAATGAATTTATAAAAAGTATTTTTTATAATAAATTCTATAATATTATATTAAGATTAGAAAGAATTATACTTAATATTTTAAAAGTTTATCAAAGATTAATAATAAAATTTTTTTAAAATTATATATTTTCTATAATAATTAAAAAAATTAAAAGTATTATTATATTTAAAAGATTTTTATAAATATTAATTTTAATAAAAATAGATAAAATATGAATTTATAATATTTTAGCAACAAATTTTATTTACTAAGCCTAACGATTTAAGAGAAACTTTTTTTATTGAATACATATAAATCTTTTAGTTTTAGAAATAAAATTTTTTATATTTTTATTTATAAATTATTTATAAATAATACTAATTAATTATTTGTAAAATTTAATTATAAACAGAATGATTATATCTATCTATACAATTATCTATCTAAATTCTTTGATCTTTTTTGATTAAATTCATCTTGATTTTTAATTTCAAAAATATATTTTTTTGTTTTTAAAAGAAATATTTTTGAATAATTTCTAAAAGATCAGAACCTAAAGAATTTGAATATAATAAAATTATTAATCTATGAAAAGACAAAAACAATAAGTAAATTCAGTAAAATATTAAGACACCTAAATTAGTAATTATATTGTAATAAAAACACAAGAATTCAAAATCAAACCATTTCAATATCATATTCTGTAGATTTGAAATATAAAATAATCATATAAAATATATATATTAACAAATTGATCTATGACTCATTAATAAAAAATTATTTAAAAAATATAAATATATCATTAAATAAAGCGCATTTACTGATTCTAATCATATAATTTTACTTAAAGTCAATATGTAAATTCTCTCAAAAATATTAATTAAAGTTAGTAAACACAAAAATGACTAGTTTAATTCAAATGTGAATTACAGAATTTCTAGTGGTCCAATTTTTATAAAAAAAATATATATATTCTGAAAGCTTAGAATTTGGGTGTTTAAATAAAAAATTATAAAATTTGATTATTGGTTGAGCCATAAATCGCGTTTAAATATTATCGATCATTTTTAGATGATCTTACCTGGATACTTGTGCTTTACCTCCCGCCCAATTAGGAGATATTGGAATCGATCACCAATAAACATGCACAAATTTTTAATTAGCCCGGCAAAACAGATCCTACACAAGAAATAAAAACGAATACATGTATTTCGAGAAAACCAGTGTCCAAATCTGTCTTGGAATTCTAATTAAAAATGTCAGGAAGACAATTTTACATATAATCTTGTCCCATATTTCTTAATTGGGCGGGGTCACATATCTTTATCAATTTAAAATAATCATGTGCGAATCACCGGTATTTATCCTGCGTTGTTGATGAATTAATCAAGCAATGGACAGAAATTCTAAATTAGGCTAGGATATCAGTCCTGTTTCACGAATAAATCACAATGTTTTGATTTTTTCTTTAAAATTTTCTCCTCAGAGTTTTTTTTTCAAATAATCCTTCTATATCAGAGTCATTAATTATTGACTGAGAATTTAAATTAATAAAAATTTTGGAATGGCAACTGAAATGTGAGAAAAATACATTTAAACTCCTCTATACTTGTATCTCTCTAGTCACCGTCAAAATGCGGTCTTAATATCCTAAAGAATAAATGTTGCCTTACAATTGCGAAACGTTATTCAAAGTTAGGGTTAGTGTTAGATATAGGACAGAGATTATATGTAAAATTATCGCCCAGAAAATTTTCTTTTTTGTTTTCTTTTTCGAATTTGATTTTTTGCCGCGAAGACACAGATTCAAAAATTGTATTAGAATTGATTGTCATTCAAGTTTGTAATCTATAATGTAATTCAAGGAAAAATAATATCTCATTCAAATTTTTCGGTATTCAACTTTGTCTTACCAACAAGTTTTCGTGGTGGTATTCGTAAAACCAAGCTTTTTTATGTGAGACAATGATCACAAAAACTCCAATTATCAAATGATGTATTTTATTTTCTCCTTATTATTTTTTTAGTTAATTAACTTGCGGCGAGAATTCAAAAAAGACAAATAAATTTTAAATTCGAGAATGTATTTATCAAGATAACAATTTCATCATTACAATACAAACTTTTTGTTACTCCAAGTAAAAATAGAATTAAAATTTGTAACCAAATAGAATAAATGGAAATTCCATACTTTTGTTGTAACCTAAAACGAGTAACAATGCACTTCGAATTCTGGTAATACATATGAAAAATTCGAAATTGCTTATTCCAGAGGTTTGTCAAGCCGAGCCACTAACCGTCACACTGCACCACATGAGTTGAAAGTGACGAGTTCAGTAAAAGAAACTTTTTTATTTCGAAAAGATATTGATAAGACGAATGAGACCTAAATTGTTGACTATTTTGCGTGTGGTGCACGATTCTTTTCGGTGGGTTGCTAAGGATTGATGATGATCCGTTTTCAAGTTTTTCCAGTTTGTTTATATTTATTAACATATTATCTTCCTTTTTTCAATTTCGAGATTTTTTTATCTTAAAAAAGTGTTTATTACTATTACATGTATCGTGATCAAAACAAAACTTGAATGATCTTTTAAGTCACCAATCAAAATAATATCGTGTAATGCATTAAATGTGGCATGTTTGGATTAAATCGACTAAATGGCTTGCCTTGCTTTAACGAATTCATCAGAATTGTTTGTACAAATGTAAACACTAAAGTATTACTGAAGTCGAATGTGAAAATGGCGTAAAATCGAAGTCTAGCGTGGAAAAGGGACCCTTTTTTTTTTAAAAAAATTTAAATTTATCTAAAAATAGTTGCATAAAAGTTTGCAAGTTATGCAAGGACTACTCAATTCACATTAACATTTAATTGTACAAATCTAAATTTACCGAGAGTTTGCGTACAATTTCTTTTGGGGAATTCTACGTTCACCTTTTTTTAGAAAAAATGAGAGACAGAATCTTGTACGGCAAAATTTGTTTGTGACGGCTTCAGTCCTCCTTAACGAGAAGGTTTTTTTATAAATACACGTATTTTACCCTACTCTTCACAACTACACAACTGCAAAAACTCACCTTTAACAGCTATTGAAAATGACAAAAATCAACTTCCTAATCGTAATTGCACTTGTTTGTGTCATGACATTCTCCGCTGTGAATTCATATCCTTGGCGTCGTGCCTGCACATTCACCGATAACATCGGATGTGATAACACAGGTCATGGAAACATTGGTAATTCTAATGCTGGTGATAATAATATCGGCAATGAAAACGGCCTAGGAAGTACAGGTACAAATGATGGCAACAACAATATTGGTAACGCAAATGGAAAAGATAGCGGTGGTGCGGGAAATGGAAATGGTAATATAGGAAACGGCAACGGTGAAAATAGTGGCAATAGTGGTCCAAATAATTGCGCCGCAACCGGTTTCCCTAGTGGCCCTGGCGTAGGCGAAAATAATGGAAATTCTAACATTGGTAAGCTAAATTTTTAGCTTATGCTTACTTTATTTGATTATAAATTTTAAAATATTTAAAATCCATCACACGTATTAGGTAATAATAATGGCGCGAATTCTGGAAATAACGACTGTATTTATAATTACAACACTGGCAGCAACAACGGAAACAGCAATATCGGCAATAGTAACGGAGAAGGAACCGGTAATGGAAACCATCTTACTCTAGATTCTGGCTCCAATGACGGCAACGGGAATATTGGCAGTGGAAATGGCCAAAACAGTGGCAATAACAATTCTTTCATGCTTAACGACGGCACCGGTGTAGGCGATAATAATATTGGAAACCAAAATGGTCAAAATACTGGAAATAATAACTACCTCGTGGGACATAGCGGTGAAGGAGTTGGCTCCAATAATATCGGATCCAATATCGGATCAAACGTCGGCAACAATAACATAGGCTAGAATCTAATATTATGGATCTAGCGCTAGTGTTAAATAGATACAATAGATGTACATGTACATGTTCATGTTCATGTTATAGTTTTAGAATATCGATATCTTATCGTTATCGTTATCGTTATTATTTGTATCGTTATGTTATGCTATAAATAAATGCGATTTATTGTCATGATTTTGACATCATTATCATAATATCGATATCGGTTAAAAGTCTCATCTTAAAAGCCCTAGTCTTCATTTAGAAGCTTGATTTATTTGTAAAAGTCAATCATTTTAAACCACATGTTATACAGTATAATAAAATACTATTCTCACGCATTTTACGTTATGTTTGTTTTTTTATCTACTGAAAAATGTCATCACTATGATCTAAAGAAATTTCTTATAAATTTAAGCATTATTCACTTTCGTTCCGTCAAGGAATAAAATTTTTTTTTCTTTTAAAAAAATGTCAAACATAACCTCCTCTATCAACGAAGTCCCAGTGACAAAACAACGTCCTGCACCAACTGATCTTGATAAAACCTTAGGAAATGCAGGCAAGTTAATATATAAACCTCATTATATATATATATATATATATATATATTTTTTTTTTTTTTGAAATCCTGTTATATCGTGTACAATTTTTGGATGATAGGAACACCACGTGCTACCATCGCTGCTTCTCGCGAGAAACCAGATGGCACACCAGGTCGAAATATCAGGAATCGAACGGTGCTTTTCTTTATTATGCTTTGTTTAATTAGTTTTTATTCGTATTTGACTTTTAATAAAAATTTTTGAGGCAGGTTCTTCAACAACATGTTGACTTTTTCGACACTGACAGAGATGGGATTATTCGACTCTTTGACACGTATCGAGGTAATTAACAATCATTGCATTGGATAAGAACTTGCGAACAATTATTAACATTTGATTTCAACTGGTGATTAGGATTTCGGGCTTTAGGTTTCAACGTAATCTTCTGTCTCTTGGCTGTAATAGTGATTCACGGATCTTTTTCGTGGATAACTCAACCTTACTGGATTCCGAATCCTGCTTTCCTAATTTATACCGACAACATTCACAAAGCGAAACACGGATCTGACTCGGAAACGTACGATTCAGAGGTACAAAAACGTCGTCGTCGTCGTCTTTGTCAATGTGACAAATTAATTCACTTGAAAAAATATTCCATAAAACTAGGGTCGTTTTATCCCAGAAAAATTTGAAGAAATTTTCTCAAAATATGATCATGACAATAAGGGTGGATTGAGTCTTATGGAAATGTTTAAGATGATATACGGAAATGCAAATGTAGCAGACTTTTTCGGTTTGTTCAATTTCAATGCTTAGACAATGTTTAGCGTAATTACTATTCCCAATAATCGAGGTTCGTATCTTATGTCATAGGTTGGTTTGCAATGTTCTTTGAATGGGGTACTGCTTGGCTATTAGCAAATAAGAATGGCATTTTGTACAAAGAAGATATTCGTGCCCAATATGATGTGAGTTAGTATAACGCGCGCATACCTTTTTTTGTCCCTTTTGTTGTTGCTTATTTTTTCGCGATAAATTGCGTGTTTTAGGGTTCACTCTTCTACAAAATTGCCGAAGAACGCGCAAAAAAACGAAAATCTCATTTCAACGGTCAATATGAAGAAACAATGGCTCGTGGAAAACAAAAGGAGTAAATGAACCACAAAATTATATGCTGTCCGAGTTTCTAACAACAACGACATTAATGGAATGACATAACAATTACTTGAGATTTGAGCAGATGTTTATTAATAAACCAAGACAAGATGCTTATAAATAAATTCGATAAAAACATTTTTATCAGAGATTGACAAAAAGCGAGAAAAGTTTAAGTTGATAATAAGAAAAACTCGTTCAAATAGAAAAACTATTTGGTTTTGATTAATGATAGTACTACATGACCCTGAAAGTTCTCTTCAAAGCATATCCAGCAAAGTTACTTCCGTTTCTTGTCGCTTTTCGACACCATCGAATTGCCTCGTGCACATCTACATTCGTTCCATAACCATCTCTTAGATTGGAGATCAAAGAATATGTTCCTCTCTCATGTTCACCTTCAGCAGCTTTTTTAAACCAATAAGTGGCAGCTCGAAGATTCCTCGTAACGCCGTGGCCAGTCTCATAAAATGAACCAGTATAGAATTGCCCACTTGTATACCCAGTTTTCGCGATGCTATGATACATTTCGAATGCCTTTTCCGCGTCTTGTTCATAAAGTCTACGTGCTGAATTCGATACTCCTTGCGGATGTCCTCTTTTCGCGGATACTTGATACAATTCAAAAGCAAGTGTTTTATCAGACTCTATACCTATACCTCTTGAATAGCAATATCCTAGCTGATTTGCACCAAAATCATCTTTTCCATCTGATGCAACTTTGTACCAATAAAATGCTTGTTTGAGATCAGTGCGATTGACATGATCAAAGAAGCCGAGTAAGCAGGCACATTTTGGTAGAAAACGTAATTTCTTCAAAATGCCAATAAAGTTCTGCGGAGTTTGATCTAATACCGTGAGGTGTTGTTCTATTTTCTTGAATACTGTGTTGTCATTTCCGGAAATTCTTGTAAATTTATCAAATACCTTTAAGGTGCTTTCCAGGATGTCGTATTCACTTTCTGTAATGATTCTTGCTAAATTGATAAATGAGGGAAGTATTGATTCTGACGATTTCTCCAATATTTTCCTTTCTTGGGAATACACATCCAATTCAGACGCATTTGTTTTAACATGATTAATGCGTGTTTCTAAATTTGCAAGCGATAAAAAGACATCATTCAGACTTGGTCTTAAATCCGGATCTGACGCGCAACAGCGTTGGCATAGTTGAACATATTCAGCGGATATCCTATCAGCGTTCCAATGTGAGTTTTCATTATAAACATTGACCACAAATTGCTCTGCGTCATCAGAATCGTAGACTGAAATTCCAGCAAGTGACGCGAGAGTGATGCCAAGGCTGAATATGTTTGAACGTTTATCGCAAACAAAATCTGGATCTCTAATGAAATTTGGATCGATAAATTTGAGAGAATCATAAAAATTATTCTTTGGACTTGGAATGTCGAGGGATGTTTGAATCATAGGCAGGTGGGCAAATTTTGGTATATTTTCATCCATCCAAATATTCATTGTATTCTAATAATTGCAAGTTTCATTACCAAAGATGTTAGTTGAATATTTGGAATAAAAATTTGTAATAGTCACCAGATTCTGAATCTCATAATTTGCTTCCACTTCCAAATAAATTAGACCAGAAACGATTTCTTTAGCTATAGAAATCGCAAAATTCTGACCTAAACTCTCATTCTTCTTCAAATATTGTGCCAGAGATATTTCGCATTTTTCCATAATCAGAAATACTCGAGACAAATAATCTTTTATTGCGACGAAAAAGGTAACATATTAGCATCAAATATATGAGTTTTGACATAACATAATGAACTTTACCAATTGCATAGCCTAAAAGTCCTAACAAGTTTCGATGTTGCAATTTTTCTGCAAATTTTATCTGTTATATCTGTCAGCTACTTTTTGTATTTAAAATACGTATATGAAACAGAATTTTTAACACAAACTTCTTTAGAAAACCCAATAATAGGGTTACTAGATTCATCAAACTCAAGATCGTTATATTCAAAAAGCGAGACTTCGATTTCATTTCGAGGCCAATATGCACGATACCACAAGCCATGAGAATAGTCGCCGCGAATTAAATCGTTGTTTTGGAACTCACTGAATTGATAAAATACTGTCATGTGCTATACAGAAAAAAAATAAGATAAGGCCTTACTGTTATTAAATTCTATTAGAAATGGGAAACTCACAATCAATTTTCCGTTTTCCTTATTATTTTTGAAATTGCAGCAGAAATCGACTTCCTTTTTAAATTAACTTGTGGGATAACATTAATACATTAATACATGTACATGTAAATTGTGTTCAAATAAATAAAGATGTGATGTACATGTACCAGTAGCATGGCGTAAAATTTTTACCATACCATATACATGTACATGTAAGAATACATGTATGCACGATCAAAATCCTATTGGATCTTTGACTATTAAAAGAATGAGATACTGATCAGACTTGATATCCACCACTGTATAAACCAATAATTTGAGAATAATTACATTATTCGTATTTATAGACCGGAATACAATTTATCGTTATGGGGGGGGGGGGGTCTAACTGGGCATATTTCTACATGTATTTGTTGTGTAATGGGAAATCTAATACATGTAAAAGCTCAAGCGTTGTCGTCACTTTGCATGGCATGATATGATTCTATGGAGTTAACTGTGGCTCGGTTGCTATTTTAATCATTTTAACTGTGCACAATGTGCGATTCTGGGATAGATTTTACATGTACTAACGTGTGTGATTGCATATCCTAAATCATCAAACAAAACAGTTCCCGTTTTTTGATGATGATGAAGATGATTATCGTTACTTTTGCTCTCGTGTAAGATAATAATATTATTATTCTTTTTTTAAAACATGAATAACTTGGCATCTCAAAAAGAAAATAAACTCAAAAAATTTTATAAACTTTTGACACAAAAATTAAAATTTCATGATCGTTCATCAGCAAAATCCAAAAATAATGACGAAATTGCCACTTTGAAATCCACATTTTTCCCCGAACTATTAACAGAGATGAGAAATGTAATCGATCCAGGGCCCCGAGACGAACATTTATTCTCTTGTATTGAAGATTGGTGCAATTCTCACGATATAACTAAAAAACAAATGATACAACATGCTCGTGAGTTAGTGAAAACTAATTCGGAATATGCTTGTCTGTTGGGATTATGCTATCACTATGGCGTAGGGACTTCAAGGAATTATAAAAAGACTTTTAAATATTATTCGAAAGCCGCAGATTTTGGAGATCGATTCGGGATGAATCAGTTAGGATGGTGTTTTCGTAAACAATTAGGTACTAAACAGAATTTAGCTCTTAGTACGCTATGGTATCAGCGTTCAGCATCATTAGGGGATCCTACCGGTCAATGTAAGAATTTCTTTTTAGTATCATTCATATTGGTTATTTATTTCATTTCAGACACAATTTAATCTTTTCTTTTATAAAAGGTAATCTGGCATTTTGCTTTTACGATGGAGATGGCACCAAAGTAGACAAATATATTTCCTACAAATTGTTTGAGAAATCCGCTATCGCTGGAATCGATACGTCGCAACAAAAAGTTGTCAAATTATATTTGCATGGAATTGGGACAGAGCGTGATATACATAAAGCGATAAAGTGCTGTCGAGAATGGATGAAAGCTTCAGATCTGAGAGCTTTTTGTCAGCATATATTTCGTTAGTTGTACGAGATCGAAATAATTTTTTTGTATGCGTTATTTACATGTACTTCGAATTCACAAGCACTAGAATTTTGCCTCTTGGACAATTTTGATTCTTTAGTTTTAATATCGACAGTGTAATCTTTGTTAAATATACTAGCACAACGACGACAACAATTTTTATATGTAGGTTTCAATCACTAATTTCACGAAAAATCGATTTTTCAATAATCGGAATCAAATTACTATGCTAGCGCATGGCTTTTTCCAATAGCACCGCCAAAGTTTTGTCTACAAAGTAAATCAAAATTTATTCTATCAAATCTAACTTCCCAATTATGTTTCTGTAAACGTTAACGCGATATTGAATTATCGCTATCACATGAAAGAAGGCAAACTACAACGAAGGCTGACTTCTTGTTGACTTCATAGTTTTATGAAACTGCCAAACATTGCGACATTTCGATTATGGTTGTAAACATTTACAGAGCATTCATTAATACTAATGACGCAATCGGAACATTTTCTATGCGTGGATAAAACGAGAGCCAAATACATGTACATATACATGTATTCTGATCATCTTTAAAAGAACCACATGGAATGCTTTAAATTGATTAACGTTAACGTTAATTTCTATAGCGATAGGTCATATGGATTAAATACGGATTTTTAGATTATAGGGTTGTGAAAGTATCTAGTTAATATCTATATCGATGAATGAAAGGAGAGTGGGATAAATAGTTTGGATTATACTTCTATGTGGTTTTCCTATAAGATTTTTTCTAGATAAAAACCTTAACAATCAAACGCATTAACAGATTATCTTATTCACAAAGCCGATTTTTCTTAATCAACCATAAACAATACAGCAGAGTTGCAAGAATCGTACACGATTCTGTGTAGAGCTATTAGATTTTTAAACAAGCCGTGGATTACTTGGAGAAGGAAATTCTCAGGATTTCCACAGGTTTACAAAAAATTCAAACTTAATAAAACCTGATAACCTGAAAATTGATTTTATCCAGGTTTAAATTTTCAGAATAACCTTAGTAAAAGCTGACAATAACCTGGAAAATCGGATTTCAGGTTATTATCAGATTTTACTAAGGCTGGATATTTCTATTCTGAAAATATTTAACCTTAAAAAAAAAATAAATAAAAATCTGGAAAAATTGATATTTAGATATTCTAAGGTTTGTCTTAGGTTGGATATTTCTATTAAGAAATATTCAACATGAAATGAAGCTTAGAAAATTTTATAAAAATCTGGAAAATATCAGTATTCAGATATTTTAAGGTTAAATATTTTGGAAATAAGAATATTTAACATAAAAAAAAAATTATAAAAATATCTGAAATATTTAAAGTAAATATTTAAATACTTAAATATGTGTTCTTAGAAATTACTATCGATATTTATAGTAATGATTATAAAAAGATAACGGTACCTAAAGTATCGGTATTACATGTACATCTGCTATAAATAGCAGTTTGAACCAGTTTCAAACCGAATCTATACATCTCTGATGGTACCATTTTTTTTTAAGATGTCTATGACAAAAGTTATTGAATGAATGTTTATTCACGTGACCCATACAATAAAAAGACTAGTAACCATTATTGGCATGTCAAATGATGAACAATTATTTTTAACGTTAACTCCATTTTTATCCCACATTACGCAATACATACTCCGAATGTTTCACAAACAATAAATATAATTAAGCCCCCCCGGTGTGTACTATTGATCAAATTAAAAATGCTTAAACTTACAAGAGACTTGGACGCCCCGAGCAAGAATGTCATGCCAATTATCCCAGTTGATTTACTTCCTGATATTTTTCAAAATTTCAATAATGATCGTCAAGCTATATATAATTGCGTTTTCGTGAATCGCACATTTTGTCGAGTAGCTATACGCTTTTTGTGGCAAGATCCATTTGGAATAAAAAAATCTACTTGGCCATTTACAAACGGTCGAGCAGCCGCAAACATAATTTCACTTTATTTGGCATGTCTCAACTACCAAGACGGAAGGAATTTTTTGTCAACAATCAAAATACCACATCAAAGACCAACATTTAACTATCCGCAATTCTTGAGATATTTCGACGAACAGCGTCTTTACATTTACATTCGATCCGGACAATCATACAATAATAATTTAGGTGAACTAGCCGAAGCATACAACATACATTCAGCCATTAAGAAGCTGGTATTGAGGGAATCACAAGCACTTCATTATCTACTTTTTGAAACTTATATTTTTGAAAAGATGCCTTGTAATCTTACAAATCTAAGACATATTCAATTTAATACTCCTTCTGATGTAGAAAATGTTGCGAATTTAATACGCCATCAGCTCTTTTTAGAATCTTTTATAATTTCTTCATTAGTTGCAGGCTTAAACACATTGTTTGATGCCCTTGCAACTCAAATTCGTACCCTCAAACATCTTGAATTTATTCAGTGTGATTTTAGTCGTTTTGATTGGGCGAACCATGCTCAAGTCTTGGAGGGCGTTAATAAATTAGTTTTGGAGGGATGTACGAATCTACCTCCATCAATGATTGAGAATTTATCTATTTTCAAAGAAAAACAAAATTGTGGGAATGTTTGGATATCTTCGCGAAACATTTAAGAGCATGATACATGTATATTTGGGGTATTTCATACACTAATTATTAAATATGTCAAGTATCATAGTACAGAGTTTTATGTGATATTTATTTACATCTATATGTGTATTAAGTATTGAATTGATGATAACTTGAGCTTTATTGAAAACTAAATTAGTTGTACAGTAGTATTTTAAATTTTTTTAAATAATTTGTTATTTCTTTAATAACTGCTTGGCATTATTTCAGCTTACACTTTTTGGCAAATGATTCAAGCGCACCTTTTAATTGTTAAGATTAGCTTAAAAACTCACAATAAAATTTGACATATAATATGGTGAATAACATTTTTTCAAAATTACGGTTTTAAATTACTGTTTACAAAAACCAATTCATAACAAACGCCCATTTTTTGTATTATAATGATAACAAATGAGAAGTTCCCGCTAATGCAATATTTAAAAACACTTAAACAAAATCTTCCAAAGAAAAAATAAAATTTATTTAATATTTAATTGGCCCTCCATTTGACTCCAATACTGCATTAATTCTTCGTGGCTTTGATGCAGTAACCCGTTCTAAAATGGCCGCAGTATATATCGGCGGCATCGTGTTGAAAGATTGCGTAACTCCCAGTTAATTCCCTAATTGCGTTCTGGAATGGAAGTAATCGAGTTTTTAAGATTTCGAGGTAAGTATTTAAGTTATTTTTTCGCATTTTTTCTATATTCATCACAAAAATTAATGGTCCTTCCGCGAAATATCCCAAACTATTACAGATTTTTGTCCACTTTTAAAGGTAGGCGCCAAATAAACTTTTTCTCCAGGATGCCGCCAAACTCTCTGCCGTGACTGCTTTCCAATTTCCACACTGGTTTCATCAGAGAAAATTATTTCGACCAATCATAAGCTGATTTATTTTTATTTTCTACACACCATTTAATATGAGCATACGTATGTGTTTCTGAGATATAAGGTTTCTTTGCTGCGATACGTGAGTTAAGTCCGGAGTTGTGCAATACATTTGCGACGGTTGATAAACTACAAGTGAGGCCTAAATTGTTGACTATTTCGCGTAGTGATGCATGTCGTTTTTCGCTAGCTTCACGTATAAGTAAATCCTTTTCGTGATTGTTTAAGGCTGGTGATCTTCCTGAACGTGGTTACTTTTCTCTTTTCTGGTTCGTTTATATTTGTTTAGAAAGCGGCGTACCCTTGTAGGGTCGCGTCTGAGTATTTTTGCGATTTGAGCGCCATTTGTGGTGTCCATGTACGCCAAAATCTTCCCCTTTTTCAATTTCGTTAAGCTGCGTAAAGGTGGACACCATTTTTTAACCTAACGAAATTATAGTGATGACGAAGTGGCAAAAGATAAGTAAAGTGATAGATATAAATTTGTATCGTTATTTGCGCAACACGCAAACGTCCAGTTTACGTTCAATAGCTCTTTAGAAGCTGAAATCATAAACTTTCAAAAGACAAAAAAATATGTCAAACCCAACCGATACTCGCAGAAATCTCCAAAGTACGAATTTTAAGCGTGGCGAGATAGTCGGTGCTTGGAAGTGTGATTTTTCCCAAAAAGAAACTCTAGGATGACCTAAATCTTCAGTTCATAATGTCATCCAAAATATAAATAGTTTGGCCAAACCACAGTTACCGTCTGATCCAGTAGACCACAAATATTATATGCTAGTGCCACTCAAATATTGTAAAAGAAGACCGGCAACAAGCTATTGACGAAATTACTGAAAAATTCAATATTACTTTGAAAATTTTAGCTAGTTCTAAAATCATACGTCATAATCTTAATGAAATAGTTGGGCTGGTCTAAGGAACCTTTTTATATCTGAGGAAAACTATCAAAAACAATTAAAATGGTGTCTAGAGTGAAAAGATTGGGTTCCTGAATTGGAATTAGCAGTTTGAATTGATAAATCAAGATATTTAATATTCATTGATGTTAAACACATGAAAAATATGTCTTCTTCCAAATATGAAATTGGGTAATTGGGGAGTAATGATATAGGGGATGTTTTACTCAAAATGCACTTGAAATTGAAGATGCAATAACTGGTCAAAAATATGTAGAAGCGCCAGTTCACATAAATTATCAGATAATAAATGGAGAGAGAGAGAAATCTAATGACTTCACTTCCATGTCCTGCCTAGAGTCCTAATCTAAATCCAATTGAGCATTTATGGGATGTTTTGGAAAGACGAATTCATACACAAACAACGTATCTAAAAATCCAGAAGAATTGATGGATACACTCGCAGAAGAATGGGCAGAAATTTTAAAAAATTTGGTCGTAAGTATGCCGAAGAGAGTGTAAGCTGTAATTAATGCAGATAAATATCAATCTGATATTAAAATATATACATGAATAGCCCTACTTTAGTTGAATAAAATGATATATTTTTTTATCGTAGTTTATTTAAAGAAAAGTTGAATACATGTAATATTAAATTAAAAGTCACTCCAAAATTCGTGATCTACATTGCTGATCATTCCCGATTCCAAACTTTTGTCCACATGTATTACTTGAACGTGATTGATACGTAGTAAAATACATGTATTATAATCCTAAAATGGGAAATTGTTTTGAACATAACGATAATAATAATTGATGTATCTCTTTAAAGATTGGTCATCTGATTGGTGATTATTACTATTGTCATTAATAATAAAACTGAAGATTTTCCAAATTAAGAACAATATTTTTTTCTTTATCATGTTTGAAATAAATTCGCTTCCTTCCGAAGTACTACGAAAAATCTTTAAATGTTTTTACAATGACCCTAAAACATTACAAAAACTCTTGACAATAAATCGTCAATGGTCTCGAGAAGCTGCGCCATTGTTGTGGAACAACCCATTTCAATTCATACGAAAAACTAAAAATGAATACATATTTATCGACACATGTATTTCATGTCTTGATCTTGATGCGCAACAAAAATTAAGGGATTTTGGCATTGGGATGATCTCTGAGTATCCTTATCGTATTGCTTCTTTTGATTATCTTAATCTTATGGAGGTGTTCGATTATCAATGTTTCGCTGAAGCGATCTTCGATTATGTGAGTCGTAATTCAGATAAAGATTATGAAAACGAAAATGAAATGAATCGAAATTCAAGCGAAGATACAGATGACGAAACACACGTTAGTCGAAATACAAACAATGATTCGGATTCTGAGATTTTTTATGAAGAATATCTCGAAAAAGGATCTTCGGACGAGGAGGAGCCTAATGAAGAGATGACAAGAATAAATTCGAACAAAGATATATCCACCGATGTTGAACTTAAGTTTGAATACGAAATCAGGAATCAAATTGCTATCCATATCTTTTCTCGGCTTGGTCACTCTAAAAATTTAAAAGAAATTAGATTTAATCTAGAAGAACCTTATGATGATGAAATTCTCCCCGATTTTTCTATAATCCCTAATGCTTCAAAAACATTTTCGAATTTATCTGCGGTCTCAATAAAAATTCACTTTGGGAATTTGTTCGCGGAAAATAAAATACGAATTACGCGACTGATTTCGATGGTGGCTAATCATTGCCAGAATCTTCACACTTTAGAAATCGACTTTCGATTTTTTGATAATCAGATGACTGATGATGTATACGAAATTCTCTCGAGACAAACTCAACTCAAAAGAATATGCCTGTTTCACATACCAGAAGAAATAATTTTTGATTTCGCTTGCTTGAATTCCGAAATAGTTCAACTTGATCAAATTACAATTGGCGGCACAGAGTGTGAAAATTTTTGCTTTGATGGATTGACAAATTGTAAAGTACGGCATTTGCGACTCGAAGAATTTGTGGGAATTGATTCTCTTGATCATACCCAAATATTGGGCTTGCAGCTTAAAGGCTTTTCTATCTCAAATTACCTTGAACCTCACCTCAACTGTTCAAAGCTTTTAGAAAAAATAGGACCTGATTTAAACGAACTAGTGTTAGACACAAAACTCGATAAACAAGTTCTCTTAACAATAGGTTACCATTGCAGAAACCTTACCTCACTACAAATTTTAATAGTAGAAGGTTCAACACCAGAAATGATGCAGCTTTTCTCAAAACTTTTAAATTTAAGACAGTTAGACGTCGCTTTCTACAGCTCGCAATCGAATAATTGGGATCAAGAATTCACAATCGTTTACGAGGGTGAAATTTTTTGCTGCCCAGCTGAATCTGATCCCGATCAAGTATTAATTGAATTAGCACCTTTTCTACCGATAACTTTAAAAGAACTTTCGTTAAAGTTTAGAATAAATGCAAAATCATTAGAGGTTTTCTTGACTGATATTCCAGCATCCCTTCACCGTCTTCACATTGCTCAGCGTGCTGGAGTCACCGACGAACATATTAAAACTATTATGCAATATGCTAGAAACGTGGGAACATTACGAGAACTAGAACTCAATCAAGTTTTTAAATTAGACCCTGAAAACTTGGCGGAGGCAAAAACACTTTTTAACATTTCTGTTAATTTACCGAAAACAAAAGATTTTGATTTCTTTTAATAATTAAAAATTGGGTGGTTGAAAGAATTACATTCATTTTAATGAATTGAACAATTTCCTAAATTCTATCATTGGTGAACCTATGAAATAATACTTTGAGTATAAAAAGTATATTAGAATGAATAAAAAAAATTTATTACTTATAAAGAATGTATTATAGAAAAATAGTTAAATCTTTCAGCTTGCTCTTAATATAATAAATAAGATAAATTCAAAAATATATATATTACTGAAAACTATAAAAAAAAGATACTTTTTTATTTATGAGTATCAATATATCTTTTATTGATCATAAATAATAAAGAAAGAATAATAAAATAATTAATTAACTTAAAGAATGAGAATTATTATTAGAAGTTTATGAAAAATATAATAAACTTAGAAAAATAATCTTATTTTAATTTATATATGAAGAAGATTTTATTTATAAAATTAAATATAAAAATTTTATAAAAGTCTTTATTATTAAGATATTTTAATATATATATTAATAATTAAGTCTTACTAGAAGATAATAACTTGCTATGGGTTGGTGCAAAAAGATTTGTACCTCAGATAAATATTAATAAATTATTTTTTCAAAATAAAATTTTAATTCTG